GCTCATTTTCCCGAATCCTGGTGAGTAGAGGATGCCCCGGGGTCCCATGGGCTTGGTAGGTAATGAGAACTCAAGACTTTCTCTTCCTTGCATTCCTCTAGCACCTACCATAGTTTTAGAGTAGACGTCACCCACCCTTTTTTCTACAGATAGGGAAACTGAGACCCAGAGTAAGACCTCAGCTGGTAGTTATGTACTTTTTTCTTTTCCCCCAAATATCCATCCTTGATCTGCCTAGCCAAAATGTGCTCTCCTTGAGGATAGAAACAGTATTTCCTGTTCTTTCTGGCCCAGTGGCTGGCACAGAGCAGACCTCATGTTGTTTGTGGTGTTGATACTTAAAGTGGAATTATGATGAGGGAGAAGAGGAGGAGGCTGGCTGAAGACTATGCCTGTAGTGTGTGTGTAGCGGGGGTGGGGGGAGTGTCTGTGCTTCTTCCAAAGAGCCCAGGCCCTCGGAGACTTCAAGCCTGGGCAGGGGTGTGATGGTGAGGGGCTCTCGACTGATGTCCCTACATTCCTCTCTTTCTCTAGCCTGTGAGGACCCACCAGCGGTGCTCTTGGAAGTGCAAGGCACCTTACAGAGGCCTGTGGGCCGGGACAGCCGCAGCTCCCCTGCCAACTGTACCTGGCTCATCCTGGGCAGCAAAGAGCAGACGGTAACGGTCAGGTGAGTGCAGGCACAACCCTATACCTTTTCCCCACCCCCCCCCTCCTCTACCAGGGAGAAGCCTGCGGGGATCACTTCTCCATGGAGCTTCCATCCTGTCAACAGGGGAAAGAGGAGAGTTAGATTTGGCGTCATCTGCCCTAAAAGCCTGGCTTATTTGGGGCCAGACACAATGAATTTCAGGTGGACTGGAGTGGACATCTAGCTTGGGTCCTGTCATTTCTGAAGGACAACAGTCACTCCAGAACCTTCCTCAGCCTCCTCAGATCTTTTAAACAATCTGGGTCTCCCTCGGCTCCACCAACCTTGGGCCGTGGGGTTGGGGCCTGTGTTAAATACCTGGCTGTTTGCTTCACACAGTTCACTTCCCATAAATTTACCCAGAAAAGGACAGGTGAAAAGAGAGGCCATCTGGGGAGAGCTTGTTGGAGCAGAGCGATCAGAATGCTACGGTGATCTCAGGTCTCACCGCTGGGCGCTGGGAGGGGGTGGGGAGTTCTGGTTAATTAAGCTTATGGTAGTTGCCGGCACCATACTCGGGTGACAGTGCTGCAACAACAGGAAAGCAATGAATCTAACTCAGTCCAGAACACATGCCAGTTTTTCCAAGAGGCTCTAAGATGTACTCATGGTCTCAGGTACCATAGGCCTCTGTTAGGGCTGTTGCCTTGATTACAAAGGAATTTGGCTAACTCCATTTTCATCTGACCGTTTGGACTGTGGATAAGCAGGTGTTTGTGCTGCTTGGGGTAGAAGAGGCTTGACAACTGTCAGGGGAGGAAGAAGCCAGCAGCGGTCAGGAATATCTTACGTCCTGCTCTCCTTCACCCCTGTAGGTTCCAAAAACTGCATCTGGCCTGTGGCTCAGAGCGCTTAACCCTGCGCTCCCCCATCCAGCCGCAGCTCTCCCTGTGCGAGGCACCTGCCAGCCCTGTGCAGCTGCCTGGAGGCAACGTCACCATCACCTACAGCTATGTCGGGGCCAGAGCGCCCATGGGCCAGGGCTTCCTGCTCTCTTATAGCCAAGGTGGGCTGGACAGGGCTGTTGTGGCGCTTAGAACAGGCAATGGAAGCCCCAGGGAGGAGGGGAGGATCCTGCCCGCTCCAGTGCTTCACAGCCCCTCCCCGTGGTGCCTCTGCAGATTGGCTGATGTGCCTGCAGGAGGAGTTCCAGTGCCTGAACCACCGCTGCGTGCCCCTGCTCCAGCGCTGTGATGGGGTCGACGCCTGTGGCGACGGCTCTGATGAGGCAGGTTGCAGCTCAGACCCCTTCCCTGACTTGGCCCTAGCTCCTGTCCTCACCCCACCCTGCAATCACACCTTAGAAGACTTCTATGGGGTCTTCTCCTCTCTCGGATACTCACACATGGCCTCAGTCTCCCACCCCCAGTCTTGCCGCTGGCTCCTGGACCCACGTGATGGCCGGCGCCTGGCCGTGCGCTTCACGGCCCTGGATCTAGGCTACGGGGATGCGGTGCGTGTGTATGACGGCTCGGGTCCCCTCGAGACTCTCCGGCTGCTGCGCAGCCTCACCCACTTCAGTAATGGCAAGGCTGTCACCGTGGAGACGCTGTCTGGCCAGGCCACAGTGGACTACCACACAGTCCCTTGGAGCACTGGTCGGGGCTTCAATGCCACCTACCACGTGCGGGGCTACTGCTTGCCTTGGGACCGACCGTGCGGCTTAGGCTCTGGCTTGGGGGCTAGTGAAGGCCTCAGCGAGCGCTGCTACAGCGAGGCGCAGCGCTGCGACGGCTCATGGGACTGTGCAGACGGCACAGACGAGGAGAACTGCCCCAGCTGCCCAGCTGGACACTACCCCTGTGGGGCCGCCGGCACCCCTGGGGCCACAGCCTGCTACCTGCCAGCTGACCGCTGTAACTACCAGACCTTCTGTGCTGATGGAGCGGACGAGAGACGCTGTCGGCACTGCCAGCCGGGCAACTTCCGGTGCCGGGATGAGAAGTGTGTGTATGAGACGTGGGTGTGTGACGGGCAGCCGGACTGTGCTGATGGCAGTGACGAGTGGGACTGCTCCTACGCCCTGCCCCGCAAGGTCATTACTGCCGCCGTCATCGGCAGCCTCGTGTGCGGCCTACTGCTGGTCATCGCCCTGGGCTGCACCTGCAAGCTCTATGCCATCCGCACCCAGGAGTACAGGTCAGTGGGTGTGCAGCTGGTGCTAGAGGAGTGGGTGCTGGGGGCGGGACCGGGCCCCTGTGGCCACGGGAGACCTGCAGGGACCCATGCGGGGGACAGGTTCTGGTGACCAGCTGCTGGATTGGCTCCTGGGGCTGTCTCACTTGGGGGCAGGTGTGCTCCGCTGAGGGAGGGAAAGATCTACATCTCGAAAGCCACCTCAAGGAAGGACGGAGACCTCAGATGACTTTGGAGAGCCAGGGCATAAATGCTGGGTGTCCTGGCCTGGGTGTGGAGTAAAGAGGCCTGTCTGGGCTGGGACAGGCAGCTCTGGTCACCGGCACCTGTGACTGAGCAGCCCTCATGCCTTCCAGCATCTTCGCCCCCCTCTCCCGGATGGAGGCTGAGATTGTGCAGCAACAGGCGCCTCCCTCCTACGGGCAGCTCATTGCTCAGGGCGCCATCCCCCCTGTAGAGGACTTCCCTACAGAGAACCCTAATGATGTAAGTCACCCTCCCCAACCAGACCACCTGCCACTCCAGCCCCACTGTGGCTGTCCCCACCCCTTCCGACTCTGATGTCTTCCTCCTCTCCTTGCAGAACTCTGTTCTGGGCAACCTGCGTTCTCTGCTACATATCCTGCGCCAGGACATGACTCCAGGGAGCACCTCAGGTGCCCGCCGCCGCCAGCGAGGCCGCTCTATGCGCCGCCTGGTGCGCCGTCTTCGCCGCTGGGGCTTGCTTCCCCGAAGCAACCCCCCAGCCCGGACCCCTGAAACCAGATCCCAGGTCACACCATCCGCTGCTCCTCCTGAGACCTTAGATGGCAGTACAGGTCCAGCCCATGAGGGCGGGGCGGTGGGCGGGCAGGAGGGGGAACAGGCACCCCCGCTGCCTGTCAAAGCCCCACTGCCACCTGCCAACACATCCCCAGTCTTCCCTACTGTCCCTGAAGCCCCAGGGCCGCTGACTGCGGTGCCCCTGGAGCCATCACTGCTGTCTGGAGTGGTACAGGCCCTGCGAGGCCGCCTCCTGCCCAGCCTGCGGCCCCCTGGACCAACCCGGGCGCCACCTGGACCCCACACAACAGTCCTGTCCCCAGAGGATGAGGACGATGTGCTGCTGGTGCCACTGGCTGAACCCGGGGTCTGGGTGGTCGAAGCGGAGGATGAGCCACTGCTGGCCTGAGGTGACCTGGCTCCCTTGGGCACTCTGTTCACAGAGACAGCAACCCTACAGAGGGCAGCTCAGCTTCCCATCCACTACTCCCCTCCCTGTCCCTCAGTCTGAGGGGACTTGATGGGCCTCCCGTTGATCCCATGTAGCTGCTGTCAAGTTAGGTGTCCCTCAGACGGGGAGAGGGCCCTCACAGAGCCCCCTCTGCACATGGCCAGAGACCACAGTCCACCACCACCCTCTCTCCACACTGCCACCGGTTGTGGCTGTTTTGAAAAAGTAAAGTTCTTAAAGGGTCATGGGCCTGGACACTTCATCCTTGCCAAACCCACCCAAAAGTGGCCTTAAGCACCAGAATGCCAACTGGCTGGAGACCTCCAGCTCCCAGGGGAGGATTTGAGCAGGGCCTGAGGTTTTGCCAACAGTGATCCCTCCTACAAGGCCCAGCTCATAAAAAGAGCACAACAAATGCTTCTGTCCCATAGCTAGGTTGTTGCCCAGGAAGCCAAGGTTGAAAATAAAGGAATCAGAAATTTCAGACTCTAAGTGAGCTGTCCTGGGCCCTGCCTCTCTACCTACCTCAGCTTATGCTCCCCTCACCTTGCTCTTCACTATGAAGGCCTTTCTCTGCCTCACCTCCTGCCCTTTTCCTGTTTATCTTCAAATCACCCATCCTTAGTTTTTATACCACTCAGAGGGTAAGAAAATTCTAGGAACCCCAAGAGTAAGACTCTCCATCTCCACTTACTGCCAAGGGCCCATCTCTATAGTGACTGACACCAGCAGTGAGCACCAAGCCTCCTTACTGCCAGGCCAGAAGTTGTGAGCCAGCCGGGCCCTGCAGCTGGGAAACTTCCCATTTATGGAGAACTCTCAGAGTACTTATCACAGAGGCAGACTGTCCCCTGGTGGAACACTCCTGCCCTCCATCCTCCACCCCACCAAGCATTTTTAGTCTGTCCTAGGCAAGACAGATGAACTCTCTTCTAGCATGCCTCAAAGCAGACAAAGATGCATCCAGAGAAAAATCATAATCACTCAGGGTATGAAGATGCTAGCATCACCTTGGCCAAATCCAAGAGGTCTTCCTGGAAGAGGGTCCAAACTAGATCCTAAAGAATGCTGTCAGTAATTGGAATAGAGTTGTGAATTTTAGGCAAGGTGAGAGGCCACAGGATAAGCAAACTAAGCAGACAGTGAGGGCTAGGGCTGTAGGAGGGACCCAAAAAGCTGGAGAGGGTAATGGAGGGAATGATCAGTGAGAAATGCTGGGACATATGCTTGCTTACCAGTCTGTGGTAAGCAAGGTGACAAAGCTGTCCCAGAGTTTAAAAAGAAAATTAATGGGCACAAAGGACTTAGAAAGAGCCTATGAAAGTGGGTATGATGCCTACAGAAGCAAAGCTGAGGCATTCCCTAACAGAATCAGTCCCCAGAGAAATGGACTCCCCCTTAGGTTCATTTTCCCCTTCCTGCGTGGCCTGGCCTATCCCCACCGGTCTGCTGGAGGAGCCCTGTTGCTTACACCCTGTCAATGTCCTCACGCCCAGCACTAATTGTTCAGCATTTCCTCTCCCAGCAAGTAGGAGCCTAGGGAAGCCCCAGTGGCAGGGAGAGGGGGTTGACCTTGTACTGGCATAATGGGAAATGAAGACAGAGGATCCTATCCAGGTAAGGGTGGGACACTGGGGGGCTGTCACCCAAGTTTATTTTCACCATGGCCCAAGGAAAAAGAAATTAGGTGACTTCAAATCCTGTCAAGATAGACACCCAATACCAGGGCATGGGACTTAAGCAAAGGCCCTTGGTGGGAAGGAGGGAGGTGATCTCAGTTATGAGATGGGAATCAGCCTAAGAATTAGACAATCTGAGCAGATACCAGAATTTGGTTCTTAAGGAGCAGAATCTGGGCCTAAAGCAAGCTCCAGGTCACACTGGGAGGGGAGAGGAATACCCAGCCTGAGGCTGTGGAGCACCAAATGGCAGGGGAACCTGCTGCATGTCAGACCCTTTATCAGGTGTAGCTAACCCTCACAACAAAGCTGTGCCATGGATACCACAGCCCCAATTCACAAGCTCACAGCAGCTTCAGGAGAATTGCAAGACTGGTCCAGTCTCTATTGAGAGGCAGAGTTAAACCTGGATAGGCTCAATTTCAAATCTCAGTCTGTCCCATTATTATACAGAACCTCCAATTCCTGAGGGAGCCTCAAGCTCGGCAAGTGCACAGCCACTTACCAATGGGATGAGAGAGATGATGGTTCAAGACGAAACCCAGCCTGTATCTGTGGCCTGAGGCTAGATTGAGAGCCAGCAGAAGTCATGGTCGAGTCCTCGCTGGGCTCTACAGATGCTGACACTCTTATCTAGTATCATAGAAATGAATTCTACCATCTAAATGAACTTTCCAGATATACAAAGTTCACCCCTTTATAATTTAAAACTTTTAAAAAACTCATTTTGGAAGGAAGTCATTCTAAAACATTACACTCATCTTCAGCACATCTGCAATATAACATAAATCCTCTAGATAGCTGAGGATCACTCAGAAACCAAACAACTCTGCAGCAATGTCTTCAGAAGCTGTGAACAGTGTCAGAAAAGCTATTCGCCTTAATGCCAGATGACCTTGGAGCACTTTTTAAATGTTAGGACTGCTTTAAAAGTTTTCTGTGATGTTGTTTCTCTTGCTATTAGCTACTGTAGGGGTCACTAGCCGCTATAGATGTACTTCTAATCTTCAAGTACAGAACACAGGTGAACATTAAAATTGTGAATAAAGTCAAGGACAAGTAGGCTGTGATTGAGGACTGTAGAGTCTATCCAGTGAAGTACACAAGGACTGTAGCTGCTTAGTTCTGCTCCCGCTAGACCCTACGCTGTTGCCCTGTTATTGACTTCCATCCACATACTGCACTAGCAATCCCCAGATCACTGTTTGCTTCAATTGGAAAAATCCACTGAAGATGGCAATATTGTTCCCAATAATAGGAGACAGCTAGAATATTTAAGACAAAGAAGGCAGCATAGCATAGAGATGAAAGGTAGTCTCTGGCACTGGAAGGATCTGGGTGGGAATCATAGTGTCCCCATTTTCCAGCTGCATGATTGATTTGGAGGACAGGTCACTCACATATCACTCTGAGCCTCAGGGTCATGAGGATGAAAGGAGATAATTCAGGAAGGTGCTTAGCACAGCATCTGACAAAAATGGGGAGAGAAGGGGCCAGTAAATCGAAATGCGTGTTTGGGTCCTTGATGTCAGGAAGACAAGAGTGGGAGCCTAAAGTGAAAGGGACCTGGCAGAAAAGGCGCAGTAGAGCAGTGCCTCTATCTTGGCTTCCCCCAGAGAGGTGGGTGTCACTGCGTGTCTGCCCGGTATAGCCCAGAAGGCCTGGGGCTGCTCCAGAGAGCACTGAGGGGGCTTGCCTGCCTCGGGACTGGGAACTTCCAGATGGCTAGCTGCCCCTCCCCTTTTTCCTGCTCTGATTAACATGAGGTTGGTGGACCTGGCACGGAGGGACAGGTGGGAAGTCTCCACAGTGGTTTGTACCCACTGGAACCAAGTAAAAAAACGAAGCTGCCCAAACAAAGCACCATGTCTCCCTCCTCAAAGCCCCATCTGCCTAGAGGCCAGGCTGGGAAATGGGTACTTTTGTGGGTCTTAGCCCAGAAGGAGTGACAGGCGGAAGGAGGGGGCGACAGGAAAACTTGGTGGCAGGGTGGCTGTTCTGTCCCTGCGTCTTTTTTGGCCTCTCCATCTAGCTCCTGGGCACCCACTCTGGGCTGAACGCTAGGCTAAGGGGTTGGGATACGCAGACAAATGACACATAGTCCTAGCTCCTGGAAAAAGACCACCCAGGTCCTGGATCCTTGCTTCCTCCCATCTTCAGCTCCCTTACCCATGACCCCTCGCCCCACTTCTCTTCTGCCCCTCTGACTTTGTTCTGTTTGCATCTTAACCAGGCTCCGCTGTGGGTGTGCTCCCAGAGGGAAGAGACACAAAGGAAGGGGGGGCAGAAAGGAGGGAATCCCGCTGACATCACGGCTTATTAGCATGTGTGACCTCATCAGGGGGCGGGGCTATTTCCCCAGGTGTGGGGGGGGTAAAGCATGAGGGGGGGGTGGTATTTAAAGGGAAAAGCTGACAGTGCTGCTGAGTGAGCGAGCGGGTGCTGCAAGCTACCGGGCTGCACACGCACAATGATGCATTCGGACCTCGACACCGACATGGACACCGACACGGAAACCACAGCACTCTGCCCCTCCAGCAGCCACCGGGACTCTCCTCCAGAGACACCCACACCAGGTGAGAGCAAGGCTGGCAGGTTCTGGCTGAAACCATGCTGGTGGGAGCTGAAGCTTTGGTGGGGAGGTCAGAATTAGGGGTTGAAGCAGCTTGAACCCAACAAGAGGGGAAGAGCCACTGGAGAAATGAGGGAGCCACCTGCCCACGCTAGGGCTGGGCTAAGTAGGGGGGTAGAGGGGGGCTGCCTAAATGTCCCCTCACCCATCACCCAGGGCTTTGCTGGAGATACTGGTACTTAGCCCCTAGGTCTGCCTCATTCCTGAGAGGTTGTGATGGGCAGGAGGGAAAGGGTAAGGACAAGGGGCAGCCCACAAGCCTGGGAATCACGGACAGGGGGCTACCCTGGGGACCTGTTGTAAGGGTTTCTCTGGCTCCTGGAGGCCCTGGCTGCCAGTCAAGTATTGATCCTAGGCTATTTCCAGCCTCTCTGCATCCCCCTTTGTTGTGTCTCCTTCCTCCTCCAGTTACCCGGACCCGTGCACGGTCACTCTCCCTGCTCCCGCTCCTTCGCTATTTCTCTCTCCCTCCCTCCCTCCACCTACCTCTGAAGAGAATAAGAACAGAATATTGTCTGGGACTCACAGGGACAGCCAGGGGTGCAGCAGGACTCGAACACAGCCATGCACTGGGGGGACGTCCCTACAGGGCCGTGTGAAGAGGCAGCCCCTCCCACACACCCATGGAGACCCAACACACACATCTCAGAGAAAAGGCCCTTTCCTGGGAAGCGGCTCCCCACAAAGTTTTTGACTCTGTCAGTACCCACCCCCAGAACCAAGGCAGTAGCTCCAGTTTCCCATCCCCTGGGCACCTCCCCAGCATAAGGAGCACCCGGTGCAGGAAGCAGGAGAGGGCAGGGCCTTCAGTGGAGGGAGTGGCGGCCCCCTCCCCAGCGCGGCCGGCCCTCTCCCCAGCCCGGCCGGAGGCCTAGTCTGGGGGTGTGACTGTGTCAGTGTGAGGTGTGAGTGGGTGTGCAAGCCTGCGCGCAGGTGCCTCCCCCGCATGAGGCACGTTTGAACAGGCTGTGGCTGGAACCACGCTGGGCAAGCCTTCAGGTCAACTCCTGGGAGCCCCACCAGTTCAGGCTTCTGGTGTTCTGTGGAAGAGGGCAGACAAAAATTACCAGCTCCTCTGGGTCATGGTCATCGATGGGGTCTCTGAGGCTGGAACAGCCAGAACTGAGCCTGCTGCAGATGGCTAGGCCTACCCGACTCATAGCTTCCTTCTCTTTGCCCCCCCCAGAAGCAGATGCCACACTGCTAAAGAAGCCAGAGAAACTGTTGGCAGGTTTGGACCGGGGCAGGCCACCCCCTGCCCCAGGGGCTCCCAGACGAAGAGGCAGTATGCCTGTCCCCTACAAGCACCAGCTGCGGCGGGCCCAAGCTGTAGATGAACTTGACTGGCCACCTCAAGCCTCATCCTCTGGCTCCTCTGACTCCCTGGGCTCAGGGGAGGCAGTCCCCACCCCAAACGATGGCATCTTCAAGGTCATGCTGGTGGGGGAGAGCGGCGTGGGCAAGAGCACCCTAGCAGGCACTTTCGGTGGTCTCCAGGGAGACAGTGCTCACGAGCTGGAGAACCCAGGTATTTGGGGGAGCCCTGCAAGGGTTGAGGGCACCTCTGGAGCCCTAGTCAGGGATGGAAGAGCTCGAGGCATGTGCAGTCCCGGAGGCCAGAACTTAGAAACTGTTCCAATGCTTTCTGTGGCAACCTCTCTGGAGGGAGTCCCTGTTTACCAAGTCTTACAGGTGTTGGGGAGCCTCCTAACGGGCTCTCTTCCTTGTCTCTATTTCCCAACAGAGGACACCTATAAGAGACGCATCATGGTGGATAAGGAGGAAGTGACTCTAGTTGTTTATGACATCTGGGAACAGGTAAGAACTAAGATGTAGCTGCAAGCAGATAATGAAACCTGGAAGAACTGAGGAGGGGCAGTCTTGGCTGAAGGCTGGTACCCTCGTTTTAACAGTAATGGAACCTGACTCTTCATATGTATGGTCTCAGAGAGCAAAGGCTGACACCCATGTACACACCATAGCATTGAGAACTGCTGTTTGGTTTCCAGGATCTTCTGACCCAGAGGAATGTTAGGATCTGAATTTGACAAACCCTGCAGCTGGAAGCCAGGCTGGAAACCCTGAAATACATTTTTTAGCCTAGAAGAAACTGATCTGACAGGACAGGAGCTCAGGGCTTTGTAATGTCAGGGAAGGAAAAAAAAAGTGAGGCCTTGTGAAAATATGGACATAAATGATTACTATGCAGAAATGAGAGGCCAGATTGAATACACTTGAATAGCATTCATTTTTGAAGAGCTTAGGCATAAGAAAGTAGGATGGACTACCCTAGTCTAGGATCCTATGTCACCCATTTGCCCATGTGGGGCTCACATTACAAACTTCTCCCCCCTCCACAAACACACTCTGGGTATTAGATGTGTTTGGCAGAATGCGCTGTGTCCTAAGCAGGTGGCTTTGCCCTCACACCCTGGTGCCTCATCCCTGAGGTGCAGGGTCTGGACAGGTTCTTCCATGCCCCCAGCCCTGACATCCCACAACTCTCTGCCCATCTGCAGGGGGATGCAGGCGGGTGGCTGCGGGACCACTGCCTTCAGACGGGGGATGCCTTTCTCATCGTCTTCTCAGTCACCGACCGACGAAGCTTCTCCAAAGTTCCAGAGACCCTACTTCGGCTCAGGGCTGGAAGGCCCCACCACGACCTGCCTGTCATCCTTGTTGGAAACAAGAGTGACCTGGCCCGCTCTCGGGAGGTCTCACTGGAGGGTGAGTACCCTGAACCTCATCCATATTTGCAATCTCATAGGATTCTCTCCTTTCTAGGTCATCTCTTCTCCATAGGGCCCTTTTACCCTTCAAGGTGCACAAAACTGCAATTGGCCCCAGGTTAAGGGCAGACTTTCAATGCCCACACCTAGGGCTTGAGACCCTCTCTTCACTCCCCCTCACCTCTTCTTAAGGCCCTTTTCTCCCTCCCCTTCCGCATCACCAGCGCCCTCCAACTGATCCTTGCTTGTTCCCTCTGTGCTAGAGATTGACTTGCCCCAATCCCTTTTCACTGCACGCCCTGGAGACCCCAGGTCCCGCCTCGCCCCATCCCGGGCCCAGCGCAGCCCAGTGGGCGGGCGGGCGCCTGAAGAGGTCCCTTCCTGCAGAGGGCCGCCATCTGGCAGGGACACTGAGCTGCAAGCACATCGAGACGTCGGCCGCGCTGCACCACAACACGAGGGAGCTCTTCGAAGGAGCGGTGCGCCAGATCCGGCTGCGGCGAGGCCGGGATGGCGCCGGGGGCCCGCGGCCCGAGTGGGGCAGCCCCGAGGGCCCCGCTCCGCCCGCGCGTCGCGAGAGCCTCACCAAGAAGGCCAAGCGCTTCCTTGCCAACCTGGTGCCGCGCAACGCCAAGTTCTTTAAGCAGCGCTCCAGATCGTGCCACGACCTCTCAGTGCTCTGAGCCGTGGTCGCCAGGGTCACCGCGCTCTCTGCCCGCCCCCTAGCCCCGCCCCGCCCTCGTTCGGCTTCCTCCTTGAAGACCGTCTAGGAAACCAAAAACTCCCGTGACACCCAGCTGTGACCGCGGGAGGCGGGCCCCCCGCCCCCAGGCCCGGAGGGCGTCGCCCCACCCGCTCCTACGCTCTCCGTTTACCTCCCGGCCTCTGGGCTCCTGGAAAGAGGAAGCGGACCAGCCGAGGGCGAGCCGCAACCGGTGGGCGGGGCAGCTTCCGGCGGGCGGGGAGGAAAGAGTTCTGCAAGGGATTTTCTTTTTTATTAATTCACGCTTGACCACCTCTCCAGTAAAGAGATGCTAAAAGCAAGAACTGGAAGAGACCTTGGTAGACTTCTTTACAGTTTCCCACCTTTGTACTCAGCGCGAACATGCCTCATCATGAGATTCTTAAAGGTAAAGTCACAGAGCCGCTTTTTTGAGACTTTCTTACAGCGTCATGGCTCTCTTCTGCTGCACTTGTCCACTTTGCCCTTAAGAAGTTCTTAAAGGCAAGGGCCTGGAAGCGCTGTTCTTGATTCTGTGACTTACCGTGACACCACAGCACTTCCCCTTTAAGGTTATTAAAGGTAAGGCATGCAGAGACTTTTGCCTGAAGATTTGAGGGGTGGCAACCTGCCTTTTGCCAGGACTCAGGAGTCACCACCAAGGGGACCACCTTTCTCTTTTCAATAAAGAATTTTTCTACTGCACTTGCTCACTTTGACTCTGTTCTCAAAGCTCCCAAGAAAGGGATGGATGGATTTAGGTTCCTTGCTCCCATGAGCCTGAGTTTTCTTGTCGAACAGTTCCAGGGAGGCTCCGGAACTTAGTCTGAGTAGCCCATGACAAGGCGAAAAAGGTCCCTAGAGAACAGAGTCCAAGTGGTCCCTTTGCCAGTGAAAAAACAGGCCTGGAGAGGAGTAGGGACCTGCTAGAATAATTCGGTAACTCAGTGATCAAGTCCCCATCTCCTTACCCCTTAATCCTGCAAGGAGCAGGCTGGAGGCTACATTTTGTGCCCAGAACTACTCTCAGCTGTGACCGGGGATGATTCAAGGTGGGGCCTACCTCCAACAGGGAGGCCCATCTTCTGGGGTTTAATGGGGTTGTCCTGCACCTCCCCCGGCAGGGCCCCACCACCCCAGCTGTCACCTGCAAGGCCCGTGTGAGTACTGAAGCTGTCAGTGCCTCCCCTGGGGACGCCCACGCCTGCTGCTGCCTGAGCCACGAGTTTGAACAAAGAGCAGAAGCAGCAATTCCCCTCACCCCTAGATAGATGATACAGCTACCTGAGCACCTGGGGGCCAGGCCTCCACTCTACCCTACCCAGGTTCCCAGAGCTAGATGGAAAGAAGGATGTCTCCTGAGTCCTTGCAGCTGAGGAGGAGCCAAGGGAAACCAGCCCAGCATGGGTGGTGAGATAAGAATAGTAACACTGTCCTTAGGACTTATTCACTTTATCTCAATTCTTTAATGACTATAAGGTGTTACTACCGCTTTTACTTGCCTGAGGTTAATAAGCAATAGAACTGGGATTCCACTCATGTCTGCTTGATATTTAATGGTGATTGTATCTAACTTTGCACCTGAGGTTCCACTTCCAGTGAGGATGAGGGGAAGAGGGAGAGGAACAGTAGAAGAAATACAGGGGACACTATGGGCAAAGCCATGGGCAGTGGCTATGGTAAAAGGGCCAGAGAAATTACATGGCTATAGTGAAGTAAACCAGCTCTAAACTCAGGACCAGGAACAGAGGCAGTTCTAATTGTAAAATGCAGGAAAACACACTGGGCCCACTAAGGGTGACCAGATGGTTCTACAGTTGGGTTGAAACCTCAGGGACATGAAGAGGAGGGGTGAGAGATGAGCACTGAAAAGAAGGTTGGGAGCTCTATTGCAAAGGACCTTAAATGCCAAGCAAAGGAGTTTGTGCCCAACTTGGTAGGCAGTGAGAGTCACTGAAGGGCTCTGAGTCTATAAGTGACATGATGGGGCTGGTCCTTTGGGAAGAGGAGGCGGGGACAGGTGTTCATGGACTGGAGCAGCTGAGGCAAGGCCTGGGGAGCTGAGTTTAGGGGACAATCATGTAATACACACGGAGAGTAATGAAGAAGCATCCTGAAGGAGATGGCAATCAGAAAGGAGAAGCAGCATGGAATTCAGAGGCAGGATCTGTGGGACCTGGCAACTGAGTGGCTGGGTACAAAGCGAGTGAGGAGTTGCAGGTGATGGGAGGATGGTGAGGAACTGGCAGTTAGGGGACAGAGGAGGTAGCCAGTAAATGGCTCAATTTTGGAGACCCTAGAGTTTGAGATACTCAGAAATACATCCATATGGCGAGTTTCAACTGCTCCCCAGATAGCTGAGTCTGAAATTCAGAACAAGTCAGGGCAAGAGACAGATATGAGAATAACTGCCCTAACAACAGCAGAAAAGCCAGAGGAAAGGAGACGTCGCAGGGCAATCACACAGGCCCTACATTCAGCTTAATGCTCCACTGTCCCTGAACAAGGCTCCTTGAAGAAGGAACCCCACATCTTCATTTTTCACCAAGGACCCACTAACAGAGATACTAAGAGAGAAGGTACAATACAGTCTGGGATCCTTAGCCTCAAACCACACATTGGCTTTAGGGGTCTGTGATCTTGTGAAATGGTGCAATCTGATGTGATTGTGCAGTCATGCATTCGTCTGAGAACAGGTTCATGAATTTCATCAGATTTCCAAAGGGGTCTGTGACAGAACAAATCACCAGCCAGGATGGTACTGATTACTACTGAGAAGGGGAACTGGGTTGGGGAGGACAGGTTCGGAGGTTTACTTTTCATTGTAAGCTCTTTTCTCTACCTTTTGAGTTTTTACCTATGGCTAAATAAACTAATTTTAAACAAAACAAAGTTTCGTTGTTCCAAAAAAGAGGGACCAAAGAGAGTGTCCTGGGGACAGGCAGATGAAGCACAGTGGGGATGTAGCTGCCAAAGAAGTGGTGGCCACTGCCCAGGGAGGAGGGTTTCCTAGAGGAAGAGGATCACCAATGGTCAAATGTCACTGGAGGAGAGGGTGAGGAGCTGGAAGGCCCAGTGTCTTTCATGTGGCAGAATTCTAAAGATGATGATGGCAGGACTGCCCCCATGAGGGAAGCCACACACTCTACAAGCTTCCCTCCCCCCAACTCAGCCAGTTCCATCAGCCCAACCCATCTGTGTGTTCCCTCCAAACGCCTACAGGAAGAGCTCAGAACAGACGGAAACTGAAGCCCCGCTCCTGCCAGACTTCGGAGCGATGGGGTCTTCTCTGAGAGCCTGGCCAGCTCTTCATCCTCTCTCTGATCAAGGCGAAGTAAGGGCAGGCTGCGGACCTGGGCTGCCGTGAGAGACCAGCAGAGGGGCCTGGAGCTGAGCTGCCTGAGCCAGGTAAGTTCCTCTCTGCCGTAATAGCCTCTTAACCACTGTGATTTTATCTTGGGGTCTTTGCTCCCTTAGCCCAGCCCCTGCCCAACCTCTATGAACCCCATGCCCCCTGGCCCACAAGGCCTCCTCATTGGCCAAGAGCACTCTGCTCTAGGCCTGTGCTTACAGTTCTGCCCTGCTACATCTAACCTTCCTCTAGAGACTGGAGAAAGGGCTCTCATCAACTGAAAGGCCACCAGAGCCCTGGAAGGACACTCCACAAATCTTCTGGGTTAAATCCTCACTCCTAGAAAGTCCACCCATACATACATCTTTTAATTTATCTAACATTACTCCAATCCACATCAGTGGATTTTCCTGAACTTTTTAATCTTTCATCTACAAATGCTTGTTTCACTCAAGTACTGTATATGCAAGTCACTGTGCTGGGCCCTATGGAGAAAACAAGCCACTATCCCTGCCTGCAGGTAGCTTACAATCGTGCTGGAGAGCAGGGACCAGGTGGAGGAAGCACTGACATGGCCAGAGCAGCAGCAAACTGCACCACATTCTAACTGCAAGCTGAAACAAGTGCTCTAAGTCTGGATGAAAGAAACAGAACATTTGGAAGACATGTATTAGGAACTGGGCCTTGAAGGTTATACATAGGCTGTAGATAGAAGGCGGAAAGAAGGAAAAGAAACGCCTTGTGGCAAAACCACATGAGAAAATGTACAAAAGAAATGGTGGGCAGCCTGCCACATGATGAGGTAAAGACCCTCATTGTATAGAACAGAGCACAATTTGGTGGGATGGTGCATCCAAGTTGTAAAAGGTCCCCAAAGTCAGATTAAGAGCATCCTGCTTCTTAGCCCTCTATCATCCAGGGGCTCTCAGATGGATATACTCAAGGAATTTGAATCTTGATGTCATGCCTTTACAACCTGGAGACCATGTAAACTCAAGGTGTGAATACAAATTCAATGGGGCTATGCAAGTCTTTTTAGTTGGCACTCAGGATAGAAGTCTATAGAGAAAGTCACTATTAACCTCTCTTGTCTTTCTGAACCTCAGCTCTCCCAATTTAAAATGAGGATAAGGGTGGTTCAGTGGTTAAAACTCCACACTCCCACTGCAGGGTGTATGGGTTCAATCCCTGGCCAGGGAACTAAGATCCCACATCCTACAAGATGTGAAGAGGACTAGATAATATGCAAGTATCTTCATAATTTTACAAATGAGCAGTGGAAGTTATGCTTTAAAAAAAAAAAATTCATTATTTAAATTTTTTTATTGGATTATAGGGAAGTAATGTTTTTTGACAACCTGTGTCCAGGCCCTTATTCAAGCACCATGTAATGTTTGAATCTCTCCAAGTATAGCCCTGCTCTGGGAATACACATTTAAGTTGTGGTCCACAGAGTCCAACGAAACTCCCACAGGACTCATGAGACCCATTATTGGATTTCTTGCTTGGGGAGTACTGGGGGAAGATTGGCAACTGAAGCCTAAGGATGGTATTTATACTAGTTTCCTATTTTTCTGTTCAAATTATAATCTTAGGCAGAGGACCAATGCCAATTTAAAATACTTACTCTGAAAGGAAGTTGCCAGAGTAGGTAGAGGTAGGCTCTGGAAACCAAAAAAGACAGGTGCTATAGGAATGCTTGGGGGAGATTAGGAGGGCAGTTTGCAAAGGACGGTAAGAGAATGCTTTGGGATTTTCCCAAGCCAGACCAAGCAGAGGGCGCTAGGTATCCTGAAGGTCCCTGAGGGGCTCACCTTGATTTTCCAAAGCCATCTGGTTGTAACCCCATTAGAGTTTTAAGTATAAAAGGAGATTGGACCAGTGGGATGACGTTTTCCTGAAAGCTAGCCTGACTGTGGGTGACGTGTAGGGCCTTGTGAGCCTCGTACTTAAGCCTAGGAACAATTCAGGTTTCTTTTCATCACTGCCCTGTCATCAGTAGGGCCCTATCATCCCCCTGTAAATCTCGAGCATTCTCTGAAGCTGGGAAGAATTAGGTCAGGTAGAAAGTCAAGTGTGTAGGCATTCTGAGGAATGGGAATGAGGACAAACCAACCAGTTCTAAGCCCTCTCCATGTATCATTTCGTTGAATTCTCAGGACATGCCTGAGATAGGAACTGTTGTAATCATTTCCTTTCTACAGGTGAGGAGTCTGAGTTGAAGTCAAGTAACACCCCAGCTTACTCAGCTGGTTTGTGGCAGAAGAGAGATCTGAACCACATGGTGTTGTTCCACAGTATGATCTTTCTGCTGCAGGGTGGAGGTCCCCTGTCTTGGTCAGGCCTTAGGAGGTGGGAAGAGGAGGCTGATTCTCAGCACCACTCATTTTAAACAAGCAGGTTTCAAGATGCTTGAAAGCTGATTGAAGTTCCCATCCTTTCTGGAATACTGGAAATCTGACAAGTTCTCTGATTTCCAAGGTCATTGTTTCCCCCTTTTTGCAATCCAGCACTGCCTGGCTCCTTTACAATCTTGATACACCTCATCCACCCACTGCCCTCACAAATAACTGCTTAATGGGTCTCCAGTAACGCCAGCCAATTCCTTAAGGGCTCTTGAGAGATGATCTGGGAAAGCCAAGAAAACTCATCCAACTTTTAAAAGTGATCTTTGATCAGATCTTTTCTTGCCTCCATCTCCCCACGTGACCTGAGTTAACTGGTCTGCTTCACCTCACAGAGCTCTTTCAATCAAGAACACATCTTGAGAGCAATCAGTTCTGGATCTAGAGTATAAAAGTTGGGAGGGAAGAGGGGATAACTGAAGACAGAAATTTCAGATACACAGCTTCTCAGACCAGAGTTCCTTTCCTGCATTCAGCACATGCCTACTGACTTCACCTGGTTGCCATGGAAACATCAGTATCTGATGGTGGCAGCAGTACTTTGGACAGAAAGCATCACAGGCTACCATGGTAACCCCCAAAACAGTAAAGCTGCCTTCTCTTTTGGAAGGGTGAGGAAGAAATGGAAGAGGCTGCTGAGCTAAGCAGGCTACAGGGATAGCTTCTGGAAAGCCTGGGTCTGATTTGAACTGAGAGGGGATTAATTTAACTCAACAGATATGAAATATGTACAAAGACAACAATAATGAAAATGACACGTCTATGATTGATTTCATCAAGATATAACCACCAACTAACAGTTTACAAAGAACTGTAAATAAAGCCAGAATAAGAACCAATAGGACCAAGAATACTGAAAGGAAAATAAACTTCAACTAGGAAAGCATCAGAGTCTTAAAGAACAGGATTTCTGACCAGCAGAAAGAACAAGACAGTACAAGACAAGAAAGAACAAGACAGTAGACATGGAAGTGGAAAAATTCAAGATATACTGAGAAGTATGGATACAGAGACAGAAAAAGTGACACTTCCCCATGACTCCAAGGCTTTAGCTTTCACAGTGATGCTGAAAAGCAGGTTAAGATCAAGGGATCTGAAGCTAGACTGTCTGGACTGGGATCCCAAACTTGTTAATTAGATAATCAAGGGACAAGTTAGTTAACCTTTTGGGTGTCAGTCTCCTCAGTGACAAAGTGAAGATGAAAAAAGAATCTACTTCAGAGAGTCATTGTGAAGATTAAATGACAATACACATAAAATGATTAGAGCAATGCCTAACCCACAATAAATACTGCGTAAATATAAATTCTCATTATTGTTAACCACCTCCTACCACTCACTTTTCAGAGTCAGGATAGCCTCTTCTCATTGTCCAAGTAACACTTTCTGATTCAAACCAAACTTTAAGAGAAAAGAGGAGCTATGACAGAGTATCTTCCTTTAAGTTTTTAGTTCCTTTCCCTTTTCCCTAAGTGCAAAACACGAAGACTAAAGGTTCATAAGTCACAGCCCTGCTTCCATGGTAGCTCACATCTGGGGGTGGTTAGAGTCTAAGAAGGAAATAGGATGAATCCCAATGTCAAGAATACAGCAGTTTAAAAAACAGGGCTGCCTCAGAGAAGACAAAAGTGGAAGCTGTAAGCCAAAAGTCAGATGAAAATCCCCTTTAGAGTTGAGGATTGGTGGGGAAATTGTAACTGCACTGGGAACGGATTTGAACAACAGTCTCATCTCTACTCCCACCTTAGCCACCATGCTCAGGCAGAAGGTTGAGGGAAGCTTCTTTACATTAGGCTGAGCCAAGGGGTTATCTACTGCCCCCTTCGCTACACTCCAACCACCCCCTATACAGTTATGAATAATAAGAAGGCCTTGAGTCACAGGCAGTGACACTGTCATCCATTAGATGCTGTTACCTTATATGGGTTAACATTAGAACAGAAGTTGTTTTAGACATCCCCTTACTTCCACCCTTGTCTTTCTCCCACAAAGTTACGTGAGGATCTGAGAGCAAGGAAGAACTGAGGTGGAAGGACCCACAGTTCAGGAAGGTAAAGCAGCCAGGGATGGAAATATAAGGAAAATGAGTAGCGACGGGGCCCAGCTGAGGCAGGAGGCAAGGCCTGTGGGTACTTAATAGTGCGAAGGCATTCAAGACTGCCATGAGGAGGCCTGGTCCACAGACTTGGGATGATGTATACAAATAAGTCTGTACTGAGCTCAGGATGCATTAACATCCCAATCAATAACTACATGGGGACTGGGCCACAGCCAGCTGCTCCTACCTAAAAATAATGCAGCCTCCTTCCCTTCTTCAGGTCCAGAGGGCAAACAAGGATAAGGAAGGGGTAGGGGTGACAGTGGGTGAGGTTGCAGCAGCCTAGAAAGCCCTCCAAGTCCCAGTGGCATTCTGTGCCACAAGCAGGTTTCATGTACTTAACACTTCAGTGTCAACAGCAACCTCAGAAGCTCTCCATCAAAAAACCAGCACTCTGCTTAGAAGCCTTAACTGACAAATTAAAAAACCTAGCAGCAATTACCCATATTTTTAGCATGACAATAAAGCCTTAACATTGTCGCCATAGAGACCAGTAAAGAATGGAGGAGGCCCACAGGAAGGAGACAGGTCTGAGGTTCAGCCCTGTCCCTGGAACCTCAGACCTTCTTGGTTGGTCCACAGTTGGTGAGCCAGGCTCTGGTCTGGCTCCGTGTCCTAAGCCTTACAAAGCAGGCAGAGGAAGGTGTGCCTCACCTTTGGCAAGGACATGCCTAGAATACTCAGCTCCCTGGAATGCATGGATCAGCCCAGGCCTGTGTTGTCCAAGGCAGAGCCACATGGGAAGCGAGTTGAGGGGGCTGAAGGACGAACAATTGCAGACCTAAGGCCTAGGGGAGCCCTGATGTGTAACGCCCAAACCCCTCTGGATACTAGACTGGATTTCTACACAAGGAGGTCCAAAGGCAGGCCACAGAGATCAACAGGTTAAGAATGGTGAGCTGAGGAGGCTTCTTTAGCACTGAAGCTCCTCAGGATCACAAAACCCTCCACCCCCAGAAGGTGCAGAATGTGCTACTGTCACACTGCCATCTGGTGGAAAGACAAGATCTGTCCCCAGGTAGAGCCAGAGCTGGAGAGTCTGTCCGATGGGCAGGCAAGTTGAGAGAAAACTAAGATAAAGACAGGGGCATGAAGACCACGGGCGTATAAAGCAGACATGGACAGGGTGTGTGCCTTGCCTGATTTTCTTCTAAAAGATCAGGTTTTTTAAAAATTAAAGGAAAGAAAACACGATGGCATTACAAATATTTTATATCCCGAGATCCATTTGTGGTGCTGGCTCAGAAGTTAATATCAGACAGACACACTATGGACTGAGACCACACACATATGGGCAGCAGCCACCACAACAGTGGGACATGCCTTTTGTACAAAGTTTATATATATATATATTTATATTTATGTACACAGACACAGGGTATAAAATCCAGTGAGAAGGGCTCATGGGTGTCCAGCAAGGGGATAAGAGTGGCTCTAACAGCTGGGCTTAAGCCCAGTCTCTGGAGGCACAGGGAAGTGGTGGAGAGCAGTCGTCTCCCCTCCACACTCCCACCCTGGTCCAAAGGAAAAGACAACTACACAAAGCTGGATGGTACCAGAAAGGTACCCTACCTTTCATTAAACTCCTGAATGCCCCAAAGACATCCAAAATGGCTGGCAGATTATTCCCGCACCTCCCAGCAAGACCCTGAGCCCACAAAAGCAGTTTTGGCCCCAAGCTGAGGTCTAAGGCAGGCTTCCTAACGCACACGTCCGCACTACCTTCCAGGGCCCTGTAGCAGCAAGGTTCAACCCCTCACACTCTAAAGTCCTCACAGACCAGAGGTTTCCAGGGTTTTCTGTGACAGATTGCAGGATAACGGTAAAGGAGGAGAGCAGTTAGTTCCTTCAGTTAATGCCCTATGGCCTTTCCAAAGGGGTAGGAAACAAACAATCAGTAAGAGGTGGTCGGGAAGGACAATGAAGGTCATCCCAGGAGATGATGAACACAGACAAACATGTTCAACTCAAGTGTAGATGCTGTTCTCTTCGACCAGCAGCTTTGATCAGCAGAGTCCATTCCCACTGGGGCTGTGGTGGGTAGGAGCCCTTCTTGGTGTCTATGGGGGGCCCCAGTTCCCCCACCATCAGTGTTCATGCCCTCAGGATGGCTTGGTCCACAAAACGGAGAGAAGGGGCCGTGGAAGGGTAGACGTGGAGCAGGGAGTGGCAGGACCCAGAGGCACAGGGAGGCAGTAGACCAAGCCACTAATTTACCTGTGGCAAGGAGAAGATGTAAATAGGAAGCTGAAGGAAAGAAAATAACTATGAATACTGATGCGAGCTGGGCCTTGTGACTCACATGGTTTGGGGGGTAAAGAGGCTGGAAAGCTGGAAGCACTGGGAGGCGATTGCCTGGGAGGCGAGGTTCAGGGCCGGACTCAGAGCTGGAACAAAGAGAGGCACAGAGAGTTAGCACAGAGTATTCCTGACTTCCAGGCCTAACCCTTCTCTCCCTTCCCCAAGTTCAAGTCCACCAGTCAGAGCTGCTGGGTTCAGGGCCCCCAGGGGAACTGCTCCATTCAGTTGCAGGGCAGCAGCTTGAGCAGCAGCAGCTTGGGCCACAGCAGCGGCAGCAGCAGTGGTGGTTGGCAGCTGGATTCCAGAGCCTCAGAGGGAAAGAAGAGATGAGGTTAAGTCCTAACCCTCAATGTAAATTTCAACCCCACGTTCTTCACGCCACAAAGAAACCTACCTTCTGCCAATTTGGCCATGAGCTGCAAACGTCCACCTGCTGATCCCAGGTCTAGCTCCTGGTCTCCATCAGGAAAAGTGATGTCTGTGCCACCATCCGGTCGCTCGGTCACGTGGCCAATCCTCATAGGTCGACCAGCAAGCTCAAAGCCATTCAACTGTTCCAAGGCCAGCCGGGCACACTCTGAGTCAGAGAACTACAAGAAATCCAGGCCATATCAGGTACCTCTCGGCCACAGACCTGCTCCCAAAGCCCCAGGAACACTCCCTAGTCCTACGGTCCCAGGAAAATGGCATGCTCACTGTGGCTCAAACTTTTCTTTCCCAAGGAATGTCACCTAGGATCCCATCCTCCCAAATGGTTCTCTGAAAAGAACCCTTTCCAGCTGACTCAAGGGCAATCACTTCTCAATCTTCCAGCTCCACTAAGATCCTAACAGTGCATTATCTGTAGGGAGCCTCACCTGACTGGCTGTTTCACAAATGGGTATATCAGATGAAAGTAATACAGGCTGAGATCCGAGGCTCCTGAGTTTCATTTCAGCCCTCAGGACTAGTAAGTTTCAATCTTTAGTCAAGAACTAGGAAAAGCACAGCCTCAGGAGGGCACACAGCCTGGTGTACTGAAAGCAACACTGCACCCCCACTCCACCCCACCTCTCTGGCCTACTGGCCGCGGGGCCTCTACTCTAGAGTCCCTTTCAGCAGCAGCCTGACATAATGAGGATTCCTAGCCTGCTGTTTATGTGTCAAGGGTGTTGACCTAAAAGGCAGTAACATAAGGGCAGAAAGACGCCAGAGGAACCTTTCTGAATCTGAGTCACATGGGGAGCTAAAAAAGGTACTTGCCACCATGAACCCCACAGCTGGCTTTGTTTACTCCGGTATTACCTGCTCTAAGGCCTGGCACGTGGTAATGACAGTTCCTAGGCAGGTGGTGTATGTAGGTGGCTTGCTTTTACTGGATACTTCTGTGATGAGCAATTCCCATGGTAGAACATAACCTACCTCCCCTCTGCCCTGCAGGCAACTGTGGGGGTGTAGGCTGCCTGGATTGAGCCCAGAAAATAGCAGCTTCTATCAGACTTTGTGGCTGGCAACCAGTCCTCAGCCTGGAGTCACATGGAAGAACCAGTTATGGGAGACAATTTTGTTGGAGTGTCAGGAAAAGGTGAGACTTGCCCACTATTAGGTGGTCTCACTATTTTCCCTATGATGGTATTCAAATATTAAAGTATTTCTCAGTGGAGAAACTGCTTCAAACAGAGTAGCAACAGAGGGAAGTATATAACTTCTTATTCCCACCCCATCATGAAAATATACCAAATCTATAACACACATCTACAATAAAGCCCATACCTGACCTCCCTCATCCCCCAACCTCAGCTACAGCCTGGAATTATTACTATTACCCAAAGAGCAAGTTGTAGCACCAGGGAGGCTGGTTGAACTCCTGGACACCCCATACCAGTGCCACTGACAGAGTGTGGGAGCAAAGCCAAGATCTCAAGCAATGCGTTCATCTCAAGGGGCAGAAGGCTAGTCCAAGCTTCAGGCAACAGAGTTTATGGGTCATTAAGACCATTCCTATGGGAGGAGGATGAAGCTGAGCTACAAAACCAGACAAGTAGACAAACCTAAACTAAAAGACTAGAGACTCACCGTAATAAAACCATAACCTTTGGAGCGACCTGTTTCTGAGTCCTTCATCAAGACAATATTATCAATCTGCAAAATAAAGAGAAATAACAATCTTCTGGCTAAGCCACACCTTTGATCTTTCCTACCCAGACTGTTTTTTTCAGCTGTGCTATGCACAGCATGTGGCACGTAGGATGTTAGTTCCTCCACCAGGGATGGAATCTGAGATCTGTGCCCGCAGAGATCTGTGATCTCTGCGTAGTGGAAGCGCAGAGTCTTAACAACTGAGCCACCAGGAAGTCTCCTACTTAGATTGTTCTAAATACTTCTATCTTTCTAACCAACCTATTACATCTCTGCAAATCATTTTAAAGAGAGAGACAAAAGTCATTTCTTTCTAAACACTTTTGCTAAGTCATCTTACTTAATCTGGACCCCACTATTTGATTTCACAGTGCCTAATTTATCTCCTGGGCAGTAAGAATACAGAGATGGAGCCAACATTCCCAGGAGGGACCCACATAGCCCTTATGAAACATGCAGTGGGTTAACCATGATCAGACAGATGAGGAGGTACACTCACCCTCCCCACTTTTCCCAACTGCCTTCAGAGGTTCCCCTCTCTTTCCACTCACTTTGCCAAAGGGCTCAAAGATGCCCCGGAGCATGTCCTCGGTGATATTGAAGTGTAGGGAGCCCACATAAAGGCGCATTGGTCCACCACTGCCCTTCTGCAGGTTATTGGCCATGGCTGCCAGGCGGTTTTTCTCAGCCTGCCAAAGGAGGAAATGATGGGTTATGCTACACACCTACCACATTCAACTCCATCTTCTCAAGTCCATTTTTCAGGCTGCTCACCTGTGACGCCTGTACAATGATAGGCACTCCTAGCAGCCGCTGCCCAGTCAGCCCAATGGCCAGCGGCACAGACTGGATCTCACAGAATTCTACATAGGCAATGCCTTTAGACCGACGTGAGTTTCGATCTGAGATGATACGGACGTCTCGAACCTATCCAGGGCAGAAGGGAAATCCTGAGTTGGGCATAAAGGGTGATGGATAGAAGACAGGCTACCCCAAGCTAACTAAGAAGGAGAAGAGGGTTACCTTGCCAACAGCAGAGAAAAAGTCCTCCAGGTCTCGAGGCCGAATGCGGGCAGCTAACTGCATGCAGAACACTGTGCGGGCATCCCGCTCCTCTGGACTCAGGTTATCAACTGGCTCCCTAAAGAGTACAACTGTTGAGACCTTCCCTCCCAATACTTGGTCATCATTCTTTAGCTGCCCTCAAGAACTACACATTTCTGTGGTTTGGCTCAAACCACTTTTTATTCATAATTCACAGTCCCTGAAAGAGTGTGCATTATCAACTCACCTGACTGGGCTCTTCTCTCTGAAATGAGGACTCTTACTGTGTCCATACCTACGCCTACAGAACAGAGAACAAAAAAACTGAAAACCACGTCTATTCACATTGGCCCAGTGCTGAGTCTTCCACCATGAGAAAACCAGATTACAGCACCTCATCACACATGCAAATTTTGAGTATCACCCCTCCAGTAACTGGGTCTCCTGCCCATCCCAAGAGGATATAGGCACCCTTGGGCAGGGACCATTGTGTACTTGGTTTTAGCCAGAATACAAAGGTGATCTTATTAGCAAAAGGTGATACCCAGTGGCAAGCGGTGGACTCCTGTAGTGTACACGATCCTCACGACGCCAGTCTCGACTTCGTGACTCACTACTATGTCGACGATCCCAGCTACGGCTTCGGTGGCGACGCTGCCGATCTCGACTTCGGCTCCGACTATTTTTCCGCCTGTGACGATCCCGGTCTCGACTATGACTATGGACAAAAATGACTATTAAGTTCCTTCAAGAACAAACCAACCTCCTCTTTAATGTATACCTTTCCCTGGTATCTTTCCATTTATAATTCTCAAAACCCAAGTGTCCCCAGAACGACTGACCTGCGTTTTCTCTCCCTGCTTTTGCTATGGCTCCGGCTCCTCTTCTTCCTGTGGGAGAGTATCAACTCTCATTACAGAGGTTTCATTCTCTCTCCCAAGGAAACCAAATGACAGTGAGGCTAAGATGAAACAAAAACCAGCAAAAGACCAAAGCCTAGAAGACAGTACGATAGGAATTCATGACAATGGTATGACATCAGTTTACACACAGCCCTGAACACTGTCAGGTATATGAAATGGCCATTTCCCCTCCATGGAACAGGACAGTATCTGATGTTTTCAAATCAGAGATCCTCTTGTTATTTTATTCAAATGAAACACATCAAAACTAGGACTGATCCACAAGTCTACATTGGAAGATCATTACACCAAATCACCATTATTCCCATGACCCAGTGGAGCTATTACTAAAGTAGGAAGTCTCATGAACAACCACCTCTCTGTTCCAGCTGTTTCTATAATGCACAAAGCCCGTCTTCCTTCCCCAAGCAGCCAACCCACTTTCCTCATGCCACACTCACTTGCTTGCCTCCCCACTCGTGCCATTCCCATTGGTGGCACTGGTCCTGTCAGTGACGCTGCTCCCATCAGTATCACAGCCACTGGTGCCAACGTTGCTGGTGCTGTTGGTCATGCTGCTGGGACTGTCCTTTTTAACCTCTTTCCTTTGCTGCTCATCCTAAAGGGTTCACCAGGAAAATGACACAAGGCATCAGGTGGCAGACACACAGATTCCATTGGGCAAGGAAAGAACAAAAGTGGACAGGGAAGAAAGCTCATGAAATCAAAACTCTTAATTATCTTAACAGTTTCTGAGCACCTAGATCTCCTAACAAAGAGGGTAAGAGAAGAAGTATGGAAACTACCCAAAAAGAAGAGAGGAGATTTTAATGTCAAACTTTAGCTATCCGACATTTGTTCGTTCCACTAACATCTATTCCCCAGGAGAGTGAGAAATGAGTTACGTCTGAGATATAGCAACTTTCTTCTGTGTCACTGAGAGCTGTGAGCAAAGTGCTCCCATCCCAACTTTATGTTGCCCCCTCATCCCCAGTTTTCGGGGCCCTTTCTGCAAGCATGGCCTTTAAGTACTGGTCTCCAGCAGTGACTACTAAAAGATTATACCTTTCGTGAACTGCCACTGTACATAATAAATGAACAAAGAAAATTCCTAAAACACTGAAACTGATTAGCCACAACTGCTTTTTCTTACTAACCCAATTCCAAGAGTGAGATGGGGAATATTACCTCCTCTTTTTTATAGGGAGCCTCCAGCATGGCCTCAATCACTATATCAAAGTCATCGGATGCCATTGTAGCAGATCTAAGGAAAAGATATCAATACATAAGAACCTCATTTATATTTTTCCTCCCCTTCCGGCACCCCATTCCCTCCCTCTTTGAAGAAACAGACATCAAAATATACAGTTCTGTTACCTGAACTCCGAAGGTATCTTATCAGCTGTTGCTTACCCTCCATTTATTTTTGCACCTTATAGATCTGAACTAGTTCTGCTTTGTGGCTTAGAAAAGGTCAGGGTCTAGAAGAAAATTAGATGTCTAGGGACAGACAAAATATAATACAGACCTTTTCCTGTTAAAATGCAGGTATTCAAACTTACTATTTATATTGGGCACTTGGCCTCTATTCTACTATTCAAAATTCTGAATAACTGCTTTAAACTTAAATTGGCACATATTTCCATTAAAAAGCTAAGACTACAAGAATAAAAAGAGCAAGGCAAAGTAACACCAGAACAATGCAGATTTGTCCTAAGCTTTTCTCCACATCCCTAACTCAAACACACAAAAATGAGGGGATTCATCATTAAGCATTTTTTGTACAACACCAACTAGAGTTGGGGTAATTCAGAAAGACTGTGATTAAAATGGCTTAACCAGTCCCACTCTGAAGCATTTCTGTTTAGGCACATACAGTAGGACTTCTCGCCTACCCCAAGCTTTCATATTTAGCAATGGTCTTTCTCAAGTCTGTTCGTCACAGGTCTGTCGAATAATAAAAACAGAAGACACCAAACAAATCAACAGGATAAATTATTCAAAGATTACTGCTCCAAAATTATAAAAATATGTAACACAGATAAATCTCAAAATCACTACATTGAAAGAGGTTACCAAAAAAAAAGTACATACTGTATGATGTACATTTACATAAAATTTTAGAAAATGAAAACTAACCAGTAGTGACAGAAAGCAGGTCAGGGGTTACCTAGGGACAGGAACAGGTGGGGAAGGGCCAGGATGAAAAGATAATAAAAGAACATTTTGGAATTTGGGGGGGGGGTGGTGATGGTTTCATGGGTGTTAGCACATAACAAAACCTACCAAACTGTACATCTTAACATGTATAGTTTTATTTTATGTCACTGATATCTTAATAAAACTTAAAAAAACTAATCTGAAGAATTTCTACGCAGAGAGGCTAAGTGTGATTAAGACTTTCCATATACACAAGAATTTTGCCCTCTTTAAAGTAGCTAATGCATCATCCAGTCATCATGCTGTCTTGACTGGAGATGGAGTCCACAGCCTATTTTGATGACTTAATAAAAGTAATCATATTTATAATTTGTAGTACCTGACATTGCTGGGCACTATGCTAAACATGTTACAAAGATAAGATTCTTGGAAGCAGCCAACAGTAAAACTTAGTTGGACCCAAATTTAAGGCTTAAAATGGAAACCAAACCAAAATCAAACAGGTGTCTAAAAACCAGTGAACTCAATCTCTTATCTTACATTTATTTAGTAATCAATGGTAACATATGCTACAGGCAATACTGGATCTAATACACAGAAGAAAAAACTGAGGTTCTGTGAACAGCCCAAAGTCACAAAGCTCAAACGGAGGAGCTGATCCTTGATCAGAAGAAGCCTTCTGACTCTAATGTTCAGGTTACCACTCTCTCATGTGGTTTGTCGAAGAAGGCAATGGCACCCCACACCAGTACTCTTGCCTAGAAAATCCCATGGACAAAAGAGCCTGGAAGGCTGCAGTCCATGGGGTCGCTAGGAGTGGGACACAACTGAGCAACTTCACTTTCACTTTTCACTTTCACGCATTGGAGAAGGAAATGGCAACCCACTCCAGTGTTCTTGCCTGGAGAATCCCAGGAACGGCAGAGCCTGGTGGGCTGCCATCTATGGGGTCACAGAGTTGAATATGACTGAAGCAACTTAGCAGCAGCAGCAGCGGCGTGTGGTTTGTAACTTAAAGGAAAAATTTTTTTTTTTACATTTAAATAGAAATTTTATTATTTTCATTTTCCAAGTGTTTTCTTTTTCTATCAGGGGAAAAAAAAAAAAAGAAATCTTAAGGACAGTTGTCACTTGCTGCCAAATTGAGAGCAGTCTTTCTCCGGTGGTTTAGTCGCTAAGTCATGTCTGACTCTTGTGACCCCATGGACTGTAGCCTGCCAGGCTCCTCTGTCCATGGGATTCTCCAGGCAAGAATATTGGAGTGGGTTGCCATTTCCTTCTCCAAGGAAATTTCTTAAAAAAGAAAAGTACACAGCATACCAAGATGTCTATTTAAATATACACCAATCTGGAGAATTAATGTTCTCATAGGTATATGAAAAGAATCAGTCTCATTAGTCACACCTTATTGTGTGGCTTATAGAGATAATCGGTTCGTAATAGTATATGCTTAAAAAAAAAAAAAAAAAAACAGTATATGCTTCAAAATATTAGGAACCAGGCTGATTTTAATATATGCTATCTGACCTATTGTGTGTGGGGGGGAATGGTTCTATAAGTTTTTGATCTACAAACTCTGTTCTTTTCAGTCATCTGACTGCCAAGTCTATACAAATTTTTTAAGTGTCATAACACTCCTCTTCATTTTTTATAGCCTGCCTTTAATTCTCCAAATGAAATGCTTCTAATTTCAAGAACCATTCTTTGTTGTACAGTGCAGGGATAACTTAAGATATGCAACAACTTTCACGTAAGTTGACAAAGGAACCCCTACCTGTGGAATAGTTTTCAGACCTAAGAAACAAATGAATGGATCTATTTAGAAACACACATATATAAAACACTAGCACACTTCGAAACTTGCAATCTTGCTGGGTTTAGTCTATCTTTCTAGATGTCCTAAAAAGCAGAAAAGTCCCAAACACAGGCGCTTTCAGGTCGGGAGTTTTCAAACTCTTTAAGTCCTAACTTATGGGTCAAAGTTCATTCAATACCATACGATAAAACATTTTACAGCTTTCTTCCAACCCTGCTCCAAAAAGTGAATTAGGAACCCACAATCATAGTATCGCGTGGACCTTGTCATAGCACAGACTAGACCCAAGCCGGCACTTAGGCCCCACTGCAGCCGGGCCACAGGAAAGCGAAAAACCACTGTCAGCCCTAATCAGGCAGAATTCATTCACCAAACGCTGAAATCTCAGGGGTAATGGGCAGCGCCACCTCCTGGGTCTGGTCACTGAGCTGGGCACAAACTGAAGACAGCCTAATTAATAACAATGAGAAAGACAAAAACATTCCCATGTGTAACAAACTAACAAACCAAGACCACGCTTCAAAAAGCGGTCCTACAAATAACTTACTGGCAGCGTCTCTGTGAGGGCCAGTGTCCCGATGCTAAAACCTCCTATGTGGCCCCATTATGCTCCTCTACCTCCACGGAGTATGTGGGCAGAGCCGCCAACACAGTGAACATGAGTCTAACACATACGGAAGACTGAGGAAGAAACCTCAATTCCCTCATCTCTCTCTGGCGCCACTAGGGGTTGAAAACGGATTCCACGAGTCCTCTGAGACCGCGGTAGGTCGATGCTCCCTCCACAGTGTGGGACACCCTGAACGTCAGGGCTACGGGGACCAAGAGACCAGTCGTTCGGATCCTTGAAAACATCTTCATCGTTGAAGGATACAGCCACGAGGGTGCCGATTCCTAAAATCGTGCCAGGGATTAGGCAGGCAGCGAACACTTCCAGGTCAAAATAAACAAAAACATTTTTTTTTGTTGTTGTTGTTGTTTTAATTTCAAAAGTTTGCCGGACTCTACTCTCGACTCCATTTTCTGCCTGTGACGTCAGGGGGAGGGGCCGTGCGGAAACGTCACGCATAGGTGACGTTGCGGGGGGAACCCGGTTTCGGGGTTTCTTACCAGTTCCGGGTCCCCGCAGCGGGGGTCCCGGTTCCCCCTGTTCCTTTGGGTGTGTCGGGGGACACGAAGCACCGCTATCTTCCAGAGACTCAGCAGTAAAAGCGGCACTAGAGCCGGAGCTGCTCCTCTTCCCGCAAAATGGCGGCAGCTCCACTGTCTTCCAGAACCTTCCCCAATCTGCGCAGGCGCCGAAACATTCAGCCGCTGGAATTTCTCTAACTGGTTTCGCGGCAACAGTCCAAAGTACAGATTTTCATTGGCTAAAATCCTAAATATGGGTGGAGCCAAACTCAAAGGTCTCTTAGCAACAGTCAAGTTCCCATTGATTGGTTAACCTTGCCGGGACTCAAGGAAAGCAGAAGCGTCCTTAGTTAGCCGCCTTTCGCTCTCATTGGTTAAACGATTTGCGGAAGGCGGGGAAAGCGAGCAGAGACCTGAGACAGAACCCTCCTGCCCAGCTCCCGGCACAGTGGTAGTCTGGGCAAACATCGCGAGGTAATGAGGTCCAGTTGAGGTCCTTGGCCATTCTTGGTGATTTGCCAAGGAGCTCAAGTCGGGCTTATCCAGAACAGCATTCTGGAGAGCAACTGCATTTGCTTCCCTAGGGGAGGTGTGTTGAGCTCCACATCCCCATTCTGTCTGTACAAACTTACCAACCGCTGCCTCATGCCCTCAGCGCTTGGACCTCACAAGTCTGTGACGTTTATCTTCTTTCACATCTCACATACTTTTCAGTTCAAATTAGTGCCCCCCACAGCTCCTACTGCAAGGGTAAACTGGCAGTTTCTCAGGTGACTGGGTGCATCTGGCCGTCTATCTGACGTCCACCCTCACATTCCAGGAGCTTCCACAACTCCCAGAAACTTCAACTGCCTAATATAGCTGCCAAAAACGTAGCTGGTTAAAACATAGGAGACGGTCATGAACTCACAGGAACCGTTTTGAGTACTGATTTGAATATTAACTTTTTATCATTATACAAATTCTTTTTCTGTAAAAATGTAGAGTTGAACTAGATTACCTCTTAGGACTTCAAACTCTAATCCTGTGATTTTATCCAAACAAAATAAATGGCTTCTTGTTGGAGAAGTGTGGATGACTTCCAGCTAACGCTCCCAAAGGTAACAGAGGAGCTGGTAGTGCAGCAGCTCAGCAAGGTGGAAGGGAAGCTGGCTTCACTCACTACCCCATCTCTCACGGTGACAGCAAACTCCATGCCTCCTCCCCAGAAAAGAACCTAATCAGGTCCTAAAGGACAAGACCTCTCTGTAGCTGGTCAGAAAGGCTTGTACCTGGGAGTCCAAGAGTCACCACTAAGCTTCTTAAATAGGAAATAAACCAGGCCCCTTCAAGTATTGGGTAAGAGCATAGATCTGAATATGTGTAAGTAATAGCTGAAGAAGCAAAGGCAGGGGGCAGCAGAGTTGGAGCAGGAAAGGCCATAACCTCACTTTATTTGTATTTCCTCCTTACACAAAACCATCAAAATAGGAACAAAGATGGATAGGGAAGAGGGCTGAAAATTTGTTCAATTCACATGTTCTCAGAGCTATCCCAGGGAGCCCTTGAGGCTGAGTTCCTTTGGAGTAGCCACAGATCCAACATGAATTCCTCATGCTCAGGCCTGAAGTCTTCACAGATTAGTGGCGTGGGCCCCACAATTCTCCTTTGTCCATCTTGACGTAAGGTAGGAAAGCGGACTGAAATGTTCCTCTCTGATGGGCACGGCGAATCAGAGCCCGTGGTGGACTGCACCTTCTGTGCTACAGGAGCAGAACCTGCAGCTGCTTTGAAGGCTCCAGACACTTGCAGGCAGGGCTAGAGGCCGATGGTGTAAGAGCGGCCTGTGGGGTTGTGAATAGCAGAGCAGACCGGTGCTGTCACAGCCCACTCATACCACACCTTCTTAGAATTGCTGCATCTCCAGAAACGCACACAGATGGTCTGGCCTTCACGCACAGTAATGGGCTGCTATAAGAAGAAAAACAGGGAGGTTCAGGGTGGGGCTAATGAATTTTATGTGGCAAGGTACTAAGCTGAGTGTGGAGGTCATGATCAAACATAACATTCCAACCCTCATGAGGTTTGAAGTCTATCAGAACAAATAATCAGAACTGAACAATCTGACACTGAACAAATAATCAAAAGTGGGATGAATGCTGTAAACAGGGACAGTACCTATGAAAAGTAATAATAACCTAGTCTACAAGGTCAGGGAAAATTATCTGATAATAAGAATGTCTAAAAAGACCTGGAAGATAAAGTCACCTGGGTCAGAAAATGAGCCAAGAACTTTATAGGCAGAGGACAAAGGCATGAAACCCTGAGGCAGGAAAGAACATGGGGTATTAGAGGAACCAAAAGAAGGTCCAAGGACTGAAGCAATGTAAACAAAGGACAGCAGCTGAAAAGGCAGGTAAAAACTAGATCACACCAAGTCTAACGAAGACTTAAGACTTTATCCTGGGACTTCTCTGGTGGTCCAGTGGTTAAGACTCTGCACTTCCACTGTGTGGAGTGTGGGTTCAATCCGTGGTCAGGGAACTAAGATTCCACATGCCATGTGCCAAGGCCTAAAACAAAACAGACTTTATCCTAAGGGAACTGGAAAGATATTGAAGGGCTTTAAAAGCAGGAGAGAGAGAGAGGATCAGATTTGTGTTTTTAAAAGATGACTCTTGCTCCAGGTACAGAATGGACAGAAGGATAGCCTAAGTAGATGTGGGAAGCCATGTGGAAGGCCACTGCAAATATCCCAAGATCTACAACTGCACGTGAGAGCAGGAGAACAAGGGTCACAGCCAAGTGTTAACCTGGGAGAAGGGAAGGGGGAGAACATCAATGCCATCAGTTACTTTTTAACCCA